CAAGTTGTTTTAAGTTTTTTTTTTGGAGCAAGAAACCGGAGAGGAGAATCAGCTGACGACGCTTTTTACATAAAATCTGGGGTTGATTCTTCGCTGTTGCCAAACCCACCTTGGACTTTATTACGAATTTGAATTTGAAATTTTGCTAAGAACTACTTTTATTAAATCAATTACAATCCACTTTTCAAGAAAAAAGAAAAAGACAAGCAAGCGTTACACTTTTGAGGGAGCAGGTATGGTCGCCAAGATGCCCAGACATGAGGTCGAATTCCTCGCCTTTTGAGTACCCCTTGAGCCCTCCACGGAACTGAACCAACGTCCAGAAGCAGAAGGTCGGTGCCCTTAATTGTTTGATCCGGTCAGATAGAGAATACCGTTCTATTAATTTCAACTGACTACAATACTGCTTCCGTCAAGAGCAGCGCCAGACAGGACGTGTAACCTAAGAGCAACCGCATGCGGCCACAATATTGTTATCAGGTCTTATAATCCGACTAAAAGGCGTATAGTGTTTAGGCACTCCGTAAAAGTAAGAAAGAGAAAGTGGTTTCGTCTTTTATCATTTAAAGCCAGCGTCCTATGGCCCCTAAAAAAGTTCTCTTGGGCAATAATAATGATTTGTTTAGTTAATGTCAATCACTATCTCGTGGTTGCTGACTCCCATGTACGTCACATGTCATGTAGAATTTAGTTACTTACTTCCAGCAGTTGATGCACTTCATCTGGCATTTCTTGGTTGTACGTTTTTAGCAGTTCTATGGTCTGCTTCAACGGTTCAAACATCTCATCTGTAGCCTGTTGGCGTTCTTTGACGTTACCCAAATGTTCCATGACGAGGACCAGGTTATCATAGTCCCCTTCTTGAAGCTGAATGCTCAAAACCTTGCTAGTTTCCTAGGAAAAAAGTCAAGCCGAAATAAGCTACTGAATACTTTGCATCACGTAAATCCATACAGAAAATCCTTTCATAGAGTGAGTGAATAGTATGATTCCTATCTAAAAGCGATTCAAGAACAGGCTTTCGAAGGGTCTTCAATGGTGCAAACTCTAGGTGCCCCTGAGGATTATGGACTGGTTCTAAACTTCTTCACAAAAGTGGCTATGAACGGGAAAATAGAGTTTTGCTTAACATTAGATGGCTTACCGTCTTTTACTAAACGCATAAATCGGCGAACCACCCAGCCTTAAACACTATGATGCTAGAATAATGCCTTTAATTTTCGCAAGTGCGCTGATGACAATAACAATGTTTGCCTCTTGAGTGGTTCACATGTCCTCCGTGAAGTAAAGAATCACCGACAAGATTTGCAATTTTTGAGTGCTCAATTTAATGGTAATTAACTGGGAAGAGAAGGGAAGTTGAAAAATATTGACTGTGAACCTAATTCCTCTGATGTGACTGATACCGGCTTTTGATACGCACAATACGCCTTGAATGAAGAGAGGCTTATTCGTCTCAATCGCACTTTTGTGGTATGTTCGAGTATGTCTTCCATCCTAAAGAAGTTACGGTGCTGAGTGAATGTTTAAATCGGACAAACACAGAGGTTTTTCATCTACGACTTGCTTATTCGCCTCAATCGCACTTTTTCAGTGTGTTCGAGTATGTCTTCCATCCTAAAAAAGTTACGGTGTTGAGTGAATGTTTAAATCAGACAAACACAGAGGTTTTTCATCTACGACTTACGTTAATAAATTTGTTAAGATCTTCCAAACTCGTTGTCACATGGTCAATTAGATGCTGCTTAAACATCAAACTCCAACGCTTGATTAGGTTGCATAGCGTTTGTTTGAATTTGCGCGCATCAACGCGGAACCAGGAATCGAACCTCGTTGTGCAACTCAGCTGTTCGGTCTGAATGGATTGGATGAAAAATTTGCAAGGTATGCTGTGAACCAATCAAAATGGGTTTCTACTGGCGACAAGAACGTGAAATACGTCAGAAAAGTCATCCGTCACGTTTACTAGGGAAAATGGTGACAGTGGTAGTTCAAGTATTCAGTACTTTCCCGTCTGTGAGCTGTTAGCCGAACTGATCTCAATAGACTGAATCACTGTTGGATTTTTACATGCACAAGAGTCGGTTGGGGTTGAAAAAACGATTTGTACTGTCCGCAGATACGCTGCTCTGGAGGATTTGATTGACGAACCATGGTTTCGGTGCATATTACATGTCAACCGATTAAAAGCTCAATTAATTGATTGCTTATAAGAAGAATGGTGGGAGGATATCCCTAAGGATTCTTACCTCATTATGTTGCTCGTCTGGCTGAATAAACTCAATATACGTTCAGTACTCATTCAGTTAATTTGTGGCTGCTTTCTGATGACAAATGATGACGGGTCCCCGATAACCTCACGACATTACAACTAATCGTTTCTAGCTTTTCTTGAATTCAAAATAGTCATTATTGGATAACACAAGGTTTAGGTCAGGTAAAAAAGAAATAGATCACACACAATAGTTTGGCTAAAGTGCATTGCGTGAACATGCCCGTTGTTCACACCAAATTTTAAACCTGTATCGTTCCCTTTCTTTGGATTCAGAGCAGAACAAGCCATTTTTGTGTCGCAGCGGCGAAGTCACCAGGTCATCATGCAAAACGCATTACAACTTATCGTATGATGTACAGATCTTTTTTAAATGCGCCCTTGTACTTGTGGTCAAGCTATGGTCAAGGTCGCAAAAAAAAGCGTCAAACACTTGTTCGATGATTTAATTTCGCTATGAGCACTCATTCTTTCTGCCCTAGTGGAGAATTCGCCAGTGAGAGGATGGCCGCTTAGAAGGAAATTTAGATCACCGGAATTGGTTTTCCTATACAGCTTTATCATAAAAGAGGAATGTTGCACTCTAAAAGGGCGGGAATAGGCTAAAGTTGTTCTTTCCTAAGTTTAGTTAGGAATTCTCTTTTGAACAAGTACTTTACACACTTTGGCACTCTGGTAGCAATCGGGATGTACGCGAAATTCCGACCCTTTCTTCTCCTCTTTGCATTGGGCGTCTCGAAAAAGAAGGAATTAAGAATAAGTTCGGTGTGCGGCGGAGTATATATGGTTCGTACTAAAACACATATTTAGAGACAGATTTATTTTCGACTCAAATCACCGATGCTTCACTGCCGTACAACCATGATTTATTTCAAAGCCTTATTGTAAAGAAAAGAGTAAAGGTGGACGGGGGGAATGGACTTAGTACTAGCTTACCACAATCATTCCGAGGTGCCTATACCTCCAGGCATTCACTCGGACGATCTGGGTAGAAATTGTCAACCATAACGCCACTAACATCGCTTGGCAGCCATATCTTGTAGTGTCTCCAACCAGGCACTGTGAGGATCACGCGGTCTCCATCCTGGAAGGCAAGTAGCACCGACAGCACCCAAGCGTTTCTTGATCTCTTTTATACTCCTCCGCCAATTCAAGGGGTAACCACCTCTCTGCTTACGCCACTCTGAGTTGGGCATGGAAAACAGCACTCTGTTCGGCAAACGATGGTTCGGCATACGCGACACATGTCCCAACCAACGCAGCTTCTGGTGCTGAACGCATTCTCCAGTGGAAGTACCCGTTGCAAAACCGAAAGCGCGCTTTCTACGTGCCTCGCTACGGATTCTCCGACACCAACCCACACGAGCTATGATTCTGAGACAACGATTGTCGAACACCTGAATAGGTCTCAGTTCCGGTGCCGGAATAGCCCAAGTCTCACAGCCATACAACAAAACAGCCCGTACTGTAGCATCTTAGTTAGGTTTAGATATTGCGACCATGGGAACAACAGTAACAAAGATACACTAGAACTGGTTACTTGGCGAAAGACTTACCTCATTATATACCCTTTCAAAATTGTCAATTTGCTCTTTGAACTGTTCCAGTGTAGGTGGTTTTGGCACAATCCCTTGTGGAGTGGGCTGACCCTCCTCCGTGGAAATAGTTGCCGTGGGTCTGATTGCTTCCAAGGCGTCCAATTCGTCTAACGTTAGGAGTCTGCCGTAAGTTAAGAATTGTCGCATGCATTCATTACGATCGTCAATCCACAGATAGGAGTAGCGATCGAATCCTGACTGATAAGCCAACGCCTTCTTTGTCGCATCCTGAACCCGTGTGAGAATAGTTTCCTTCATCTGGAGTAACTGATCGTGTTCGTTCATTTTTCCCTTTGGATATATATGAAACAAAACAGAAAGGGTGATTTCTAGATTGGCTCCTAGACAAATCACGTTACATTGTGACAGAATCCCTATCCAGAGACATGGAACGAATCCAACCGAGTAAGCTGCTCCTGAGTATTCAGATGAAGTAGCAGGGTTTAGCGAATATACACTCATTTGCAAACAAATTTTTTTTCGAGAGACTCACCTGGAACCCAGCTGAATCGCTCGTTTGTGATGTTCTCAGGCAACTGAATGTGCTACACCAGGCCACCTCATGTTTCAGTCGCTACGATATTAGAGATATCGCGATACATGTATATTCGTAGAACATAAGGTTGACGGAAACCCAGGGACTGCGCCTACCTGATGAGCCCCAAAAAGGGCGAAACCGGTCGTGGGCTGTCGACGGATTTTCAGCAACCTCATGGGTAGTACATTACAAAGATATACATGTATCGCGATATTTCGAATATCGTAGCGACTGAAACATGAGGCAGCCTGGTGTAGCACATTCAGTTGCTTGAGAACATCATATACGAGAGATTCAGATGGGTTCCAGATGAGTCTCTCGAAAAAAACAAATTAGTTTGCAAATGAGTGTATATTCGCTAATTTCGTGCAATTTGGTTTCAAGTAGAACATCAGGTTGACGGAAACCAGAGGACTGCGCCTACCTGGTGAGCCTCAAAAAGGGCGAAACCGGTCGTGGGCTGTCGACGGATTTTCAGCAACCTTATGAGTAGTACATTACAGAGATATAGTAGGGTCTAGTTAAGAATACGAAACACCACAAACAGGTGCAGTTTTACTCTTTCAGTTAAGCATTGCACATGTCAAAGAAATCTTATTGATTAATCTTGGAGAAGATTCAATAAATGAAAGTATTTTGGGGAGAGTAGGCGGCTTGAAATGATGCATTTAAAATCTTGAGCATAGTTACCGCCATCGATCACCAAACCGCGGAGGCAGTAACATATCAAATCCGTATCAAGTAACCGAAATTAGTGCAAAGCTTCTGTCTGTCTCATTTTATCTCACTTTTCTACTTTTAATTCATTTTCTAATCGCTACACCTGCTAGACTATCGCATTCAAGGCTTCGTTCTAATTTTTCACTATTGTTGGTGATGTTAACAACTGGAAATGTGACCCCTCTGAAAACATAAGACCCTAGGCGGAGACACTTTTCAGTGTGTCCAACAAGGACACTTACAACACAAGTCAAACTGACTGGGCTATCATGAATTATTATTGTGGGTCAGTTCATCGATTTTAATTCAGTCACAAATTCTCTCGAGTTCACCGGCGCATCAGCCTATTTTTTTATCAGGGGTGTCATCTGGGACGTACAGAAGTGTGGGGCTGATTTACTAAACAACGTTATTCGACCATTATCAGATCAACTGAGAGCACGTATAATAGACAACTAGGGAAGTGAAAGGGGTTTTAAAAAACACTGAGTAATATGTGTTGACCTCGATAGCCTAAAACTGTGTAAAATTACCGAAACTCAAGGCTTATTTGAGTGGGGGTGTATCTGAGGCCCAAGTGTTTAGATGCCAAAACCGGAATCTTGTTCCCAGTTGAATTCACCGGAAAAAGATAGCAATTATCCAGACTCACCCGGTAGTCATCCCCAACAGGACTGGCAAGCCGTGACACATAGGCTGACTGCTGGAAGATATCCTCAAGAAGAGTTTCAATCAGCTGCTGAAGTCCATCCGGTGCGGTGAACTCGAGAGATGGGATGAAAACAATGTCATTGGCCTAGGAAATGATAAAAAGTTAGGTGTCAAACAGTTTCTGTCCATCAGTTCACCCTTTCAGTGACTTCTGATCTGATCATGGACAGTTAAGCTCGCGACATGAGCCCGGAGGCTTCATACAGTGCGGTACCCCAAATAAGGCGGTACTTGTGAAGACACCCGTCCCGTACGCACTTTGGATAAATTGCGTACCTTTTCAGCCCGTTGTGGTTAAAATACTGGGAGAATTCAGCGTGAGCAACGACACATCAGCGCTGAACGTAGGCTCTTCACTGCCGTATAACTATAACTTTTGAAATTTCTGATATGCTAGTCTACTGAGGACGAGTATGAGAAATATGACAGCCTTTTATAGAACGGCGAGCAAGGACAACTCCTGCCTAATGAACAAGTTCCATTTTGCTATCGATTCTCTTCGAAACCATACAGGACAAAAGTAATGGATAGAAATGTTTTGATCGTAATTTTTGCTTTGTCGTACAACCTTAGGTGATTTTTAGTGCCAAAGCATGCTCCATTGTCTATTTATGATATTATGGAATACCAACAAGGTTATCACTATTCCTTTTCGAGTTTGACAGAACTAAACGACAGCAAAGTGAATAATAGGCACGTTATTGTCGGTTTCCGGAAAAAAACAGTCACCTATAATAAGCCATTACAGGTTTTGGACGCCATAAAAAGGTTTTACGAGTTCACGTGCTGTTTTATCACGCGAACATATATGCAACTCTCCTATAGTATTTTCTGTCGCTCTTCAAACATGAAAAGCCTTCAACTTTCCTTGGGAGACGCTTGAGTTAATGCATGAGAAAGCGACCCAACCTGTTATCGAGAAAACAAAGCAGAATCAAGTTAGAAGAACATCTGACCTGTAATTCCATTCGGGCCTCGAACACAGCGGCGGCTGTAGGCTGATCCTCCATTTCCAGTACCAAGTAGTTCAGGCCACATTCGATCGCCTCAACCAGGCCTTGTTCAACAAACTCGTCGACGAAAAGTACATATCTGTCCCAGGAGCTAGAGTTTTCATCCGCCTTGAGCAGATTACGATTGGTCTAGGGCCCAGAGGAAGACGAAAATAATTGTACAACCTTTTACTGATCGAATGTTCAGTTAATTTAGCTTTAACTTCATGAAACCATTAAAATAAGACAGATTATTTTTAAAAAAATTCTCACTATTGCTATAAGGATGCTGAGATCACTGCAATGCGCCTCTGGACAGTTGCTGTTGTAGAGATTTTACAGGTCAAGATTGTCTTGATTATTCGCCAAACTGTTATTTAAATTGAATGGTGTCTTAAATATTTTCAGTAAACAGGTGAAAAACGCATTTTCAACAAAGAACCTAGCAGTATGACTTACCCGCCTCTCGGAAGAATAATGTGGAGAAATTGTGAGTCGGGACGATGCGCTGGATAGTACTATTGGCAAAAGTCTGGCCTCAAAACTTTAGGATAAATGAATTCGACCTGGTGTTAGATACACACTTTGCGGGGTTCATCTCGGGCGTTTAGCCCAAAGCTCACCTCAAGCAGACTGACGACACGCTTTCCGGCTTCCTCGATTTCCTCATACCGCTTTCGACATCGATCAGCACGGTCATCCAGCCCGAGCAACGCGTCACGTTTCCCGTCTTTTCTTTCGAACAGTGGAGTTTTTGACCAAGTGGACATGATACTGCGAATCTTTTGGATATTCTCTTCTGCCTCGACCACACGCTGCTGTAAGTCGTGAATAATGTCCCTTGTGGATTGAATATACTCCCAGGCATCTAAAAAAAGACCATTGATGTGGCAAGGATATAGCTTATTTTGGTTACCAGTCTGTTTATGACAACATTCCGTGTTTTAAGCTCTTCGTTCAAATCTGAAAGGGGTAGTGTGCCGAAATCTCCCGCGAAATGACCTTAGTGTAAAGCCGTCCCCGTGACCTGTGTTTTTGCAACCCCAACCGGTTCATGGTCCGGGTTTTCCATGGTGCGCCCCCAGAGGTGCGAAGACCTGGAACTTGTAGAATCTTTTGTGAGCTTCATCCTCTAGATTTACTGATCGAATCGGGCAAACAATTTGGCCGATTGTACAGTCGCTTGGAATTCGCATGAAACCTTTTTTCCAGTGTCAATGCTTGTGTAACTGAACAACTTTCTAGGAAGCAAAGCACTTAAAGATTATTTCCAGCCCTACTCAAACGTTAGTAAATGGTGTTCGAGATTCCACACAGAATGGATTACACCCTTTCACCAAGTTTACATTGTTCCATGGGGTTGGAAGTTAATGGTTAGCCATCATTCTGTGTAGACTCGTAGCCACAGCTCGTGGGTTGTTGGTGTTTTCCAATACCAAGTAAAGTTTGGCCAACCACAAATATGTGCTAGCATACAGGCGGCCTTTATTAGTGGTATATCATCCTTTTCACTTATACGAGTCAGTCTTAATAACTTATTTCCAGTGCTACACATACTGTATTCAGTATTGGCGGTAGACAAATTACGAACCATAAAAAAACAGAAACATGGGACTGCACAGAAAAAGTGCTACTGCAACAAGGCAGTCACTCCAAAACTTCTGTCATTCAACGAAGTCTGTATTTACGGTTGAACCCCATGAGGACTATCTGCCCGACTGTCTTTCTAAACGAGGTCATCGAATTCACAGCTGTACTCACGGTGGGGCTGTGTTACTTTTGGCGCATCTTGATCAAGTTTGCATCCAGCCAGCCAAACGAATCTGGAAGAGACGGCTATGATCGCAGACGCATCTGCAGTGGCTTCGGTAGCGCGAAGCTTAAACATCAGCTTCCTAATCCAGTGTGTTTCCTCGGAAGCCAACTTGGGAGCGTGCATTTCACAGACTCCCGCAACCACCACCAACAAAAACAGTGTCCAGCAGGTTTCAAGCATCTGTGGCGCTACCCGACAGAGAATTCTTGACTAGCGGGCCAAGTGATCGACACAACCAAGGTATGTTACTGTTATCTGTTTTGGGGTTTGCGGGATATGTATTGTTCATACTCACACCACTCTTGTTTGAACAGTCGTCTTTCCTCTCTTGGCGTAGCGGTCACTCACTAGATCACGCGTCACTCAAATCACTTACAACATCAGCCGACAACATGTACACTACAATTTCCCATCCATTTTGTTTACGCGGCTACCCCCTGTGTCACACGCCAGGCTTATGAACATCAACCACATCAGGTCAAATTGTATTCATCTTTGTGCAATTATCAAACACCAATGGACACCCCTCTCTTCACACTACACACAATAAGTAGGTATGCAACTCAGCCCAACACACGCGCGCACAGGACAGTAAGTCAGTTGAGCTCCACAAGTCTCCGCGGGCAACTACGGAACACGTGCAGCAGCTACACTGCAGAGATGACAAGTCCCGCATCCGGAACTTCACTCAGGAACTCTCAATCGATAAGTTACTTTATGGCCTCCTCCCTTCTTACATCATCATTCTCGTAAAACAGACATTTGTTAGAGCCTGATACTCAACCTAATTAGGTTACAACCAGATCACTAGCACGTCCCCACCAAAGGGAGGGGGGAGGGGCAGAAGGGGACTGTTGTTCGAGCCGTCGGGCTTTCCGCTCACATCAGTCAAGCACGAACATGCACACCTGTGAAAATTCAGGTGCTTTTAGCGTGCGCCTAGCATGCCAGATGTGCCGATATCAAACCTAGAGAACACTATGGATATGCACTGCTGGTGAGCTTTAGTGAGGACAAAATTCAAGCCCGGTCCTACCCCTTTGGTGTGGACTCACCAGAATGATTGCGCCAGGACATGAGCACTGGTGTTCAAAACCAGAGTGCGCACTCAACTTGATTGTTTCGTGTGACTTACCACGGCTCTCATCAACAGCCGTGGTTGAACAACTTATTGGACATTTGTTTAATTGGCTTAATACAACCGTAACATGAAACTGAAAGCCAAACATGTTACTAGTGCATTTAGCTAGGTAATGACATGCTGAGTGGTCAAATCAATCTTTCAGATGTGTCTGGTTCGAGGATTTTGTAGACTACCCGTCCTCCTGTCCTTTCGCAATCACAACAAGGGGGGAGCACTGGACTCCAGTTTCGCTTTCACTAGAGTTCATCAGCAGTGCATATCCAATGGTCGTACCGGGGTTTGAATTCCGCACGTGACATGCGAGGCGAGTGTTACCACTACCCCACAGCCCACGCCTGACTCATCCGAATTTTCACATCCGAACGGGTGGGCTTGTTCACGCTTGAGTGATGTGAGCGAAAGGCCCGGCGCCTCGAAGAGGACTCAGTAGCATACCTCGGTTGTGTCGATTGGTTGACCCGCCAGTCAGGACCTCAATATGTCCCGCTGATCGACGGCCCTCTTCGGCCTCTGGAAAACACTTTTCGGCTTCAGTTTCATCAGAGGCTTACAAATATCCGATTTAGGGCCTACTGCCTCGGTATGTCACAAGTACCAACATAAATTTAAACAGCGAAACAGTGTTTCTCCACACAGCATTGCCTTTGCTGAGAGGAGTTGTTAGCATAGTGAATGAAACACTGGGAACAGTTATAAAAAAGCCTAGGCCACCCATATACTTACTTGAGCTGTTCCAACAGATAGTTGTTTCGGCCTGTTTTATGGTCTTGTCAAACGCGGCCATTTCTTGACTTATTAGGGCCGCCTCCACTGGGGTAACTTCAGTACATAAGAAATTATACCACTGCACAACCATGTCCAAGTTGATGGTGTATTTTCGTAACATATCATTTTGTTCGTACACCGACTCGGCTGCTTTTGGAACGGTTTCTCCACCCTTCAAGCGTAGATATTTCACTTCGCGCAACACGGAAACAAGCTAAAAGTGCAGAAACAAACAGTGAAAATAAATAAATGATCATTTGAAGGTTCCCATACGTCATTGGCCACGCAGTATTCTAGTGTTTGGGCGCCTCAGACCCCTGTGTTTCTGTGATACTCCTAGCATACGAAAGGGACAGAGGTCTTCCAAAGTGTTTCAATCAAGAAATGCTAATTGATCAGGTGAAAAAAGAACCAACCATCTTTACAGCACAAAGAAGTTATAAACCATTTTTGAATGAAAAACGATTAATTGCTCTCTCTTTGTTATGGGATCTGTAATGAACGAGAACTGGAGACTGAGGATGGTAAGTTGACTGGAGGTAAAACGTCATAGTGAAAAATGTAACACAATTTTGTCAAATGAAGCCTTGGGGTATGGGTGGATGAAGACACCGTTGTGGGGAATGCCAGTGTAACGGAAATATTATGCATTCTTTCAGGCATGTTTCTCATCACTCGAAATGTGGCATCAGTCATAAGATGTAATATGGCTTTTTTCAGTCGACCATCACAAATCAGTACGTCTTTTTACAAAGGATCGTCGCCGTGCTGATGGGTAACCAATGATAATTAAGCCAATGTACGGAAACATTCGCTGAAATAACCACTAGCAATTTACATCCAATGACAATTAAGCCAATATACGGAAACATTCGCTGAAATAACCACTAGCTGTGGGGGAACCTAACTGAACGATCTGATTCTGTTCACTTTGTGCATGCGGATTGGTCCACTCCAGAAGGAGCATTTGCATAGCGTATGTGATTTCCAGCCAACTCAACTCTTGAGTATAGTGAGTCAGATAATGATCTCCTCAGCTTATTTCATTAAGGGAACTACTCACAAGGTTTCTGAAAACCCTTCGACAGAGCCTACCTGATGAGCTCCCAGAAGGGCGAAACCGGTCGTGCGCAATCTTGTGAGTAGTTTCCTTCATGAAAATATACAGCGATATCTCGAACATCGTGTCAGTTGAAACCTGAGGCGGCCTGTGTGCAGCACAGTTGTAGAGCATCATAAACGAAATATTCAGTTGAGTCTCTCGTGAAGGCCAAATTGATTTGCAAATGAGTGTATTTCTCGAAAACAGTGCAATTTGGGTTCAAGTAGAACATAAGGTTGACGGGAACTCGGGGACTGTGCCTACCTGATAAGCCCTAAGTAGGGTGAAACCGGTCATGGGCTGTCGAAGAGTTTTCAGCAACCTTGCGGGTAATTTCCTCTATGAAAATGGCACAAAATCTTTGAAATAGATACAGGTTGTTTTATCACTAGGTTATCTTCAAACATATGGCCATACCTCCCCTTATCTGGAACATTTCAGATACAAATACTGGATGTCAGCGGCTGCGATACGTCATATGCAAAGTATTTTAGAAACGTAGGTATGGACACTCTCTTCTAGCATCAGGAAAGGGTGGAGGACTACCCAAGCACCCTTAGATGACTGTTATCGTACAGCGTGCATCTCCAGAAAAAACGTGGTCACCTTAAAGGTGACACGGATAAAATCTGACAGAACGGATTGGTCACATGCATTGTTCGCCTCGAAGTTCGCAACAATAATGTTTATTTTGACACACTTTTGTTATGCAGCTCAATCTAGTGATTTTTATGTACAGACAATGAGTGGCACGTTCCTTTCGAAGCGCTCTTGCATGACAGGACGGAATATCGAGACGTGACTGTGAGTCTGAGGTGACAAACGGAACACAAGACAGACATGATATGCAACTTGGCGTACGCATCATAGCAAATATAATCCCAACCTACACAATAGGTCTAGTCTCCACCATTATTTTATCTAGTGCACTATTTTCCGTGTCCATAGTCACCTTATTTATAAGGTGGACTTTCACATTTATAACCTATGTGAAACATTGACAGCCAGATAAGTAATGGGTTGCGGCTGAAACCTGCCTACATACATTCTGCCGCAGAATGTGTGATTTTAAGTCAGCGATGGACAAGAAGAAGTTGCAACTTTCCATAATTTACACCTGTAAGGGAGTCCAGGTAACGGACAAGAAGTTGCAACTTTCCGTAATTTACACCTGTAAGGGAGTCCAGGTAAATTTCACAAGGATTCTCCATAGACGTCCTACAGCGGAAGATCAAATGCAGTATAGTGTCTCTGAATAACTATATAGATGATCATAACAAGCTGTTAAATAATTAATTGTGTACCTTCTTGATTCGTTTGACCTACTGAAAAACCATTCAAACAGCCTGTTCGAATCACCAACATAAAACCTTTGAGCTTTCCTGATTTCTTGGTGCATAAGTTCTAAAAATTCAGATGGATCACCTACAGTTTACCCAAATCAAACTTCAGAGAATACCTACCAATATTTCAGGTTAACGAACTTGTCACTAATATTAAAAAAAACTTTCGGGTGAATAAATGAAAATAGGACAGGGGACTTTAGTGCCAACCCCGGTCGATCGAACACAGGTCATGCGATTCCCCTATTGATGCGTTCACGTAATCCTACCGTTAGGACTAGTGAAATGAAAACACTAGAAAGGACAGATGAGCATCGAAGCGACCAGCCGTGTGAGGACGGACGGGGCATTAACAAAACGATTACAATGAACTGTAAAGCGACTGGATGTACAACTTGACCTGTTCAATAAATCCGTGGCAATTGCAAGGCCAACATGTAGATCTCTGTCTTGTTGCAGTTAGTCAAACACGAAGAAATAATGCAGTAAGTCGTCGTCTCTTCGTTCGACTAATCCCATGACGAATTGGAACGAAGACTGGCAATGAACTCGGTGGCTTGTATTAATGGTTGATTAAGCAATTTCTTCCGGAGATACAAGTGATCTCGCGTTCCAGTCGTGTTATCACAGCAGGTATTTAAACAAACGCTGTCTCGCTTGCATTGCAAATATTATGTCAGTTCCTCCCATATAGGTTGTCCTGCAACCGTGTTGGCATCCACAGTGTTCAATGCATAGATCTGCTTTGGGGCCTATAGGTAGGCGGCGTATGTACTTTTGTACATGAAATCACCCTCGTCTGTAAGGCTTGTGGTATGCCCATCGCAGAGACTAAGACGCTATTGAGTGATCGATCCACGGGGGCCTGTCTGAGGCGTAAAAAGTATGATCCACTCAAGACAGCTTGCCTTCGTGCGGATGGTGCAGACACCGATCCGGAAACACTGGTCAGTTTGTCCGCTTGGGATCGAGGGCCACACAAACAACAGATGCCGTATTTTCATCCGGTAGCCATGTTAAAACCAATATTTATTTAAAACTGAAAGTCCATTGGGCTGGGTCTAGTTCTCAGCTCATTCGACTGACTCAACTGATCAAATGGATGGTGATTTGGCTACAGGGAGCTACCGCGTGGAGGTTCGAAGGACACTTATAGAGTAAGAAGAAGTATGTTTTATAAAGGGAAAATATTTTGGACATGATACGCTGTTGCCTTTACGATCTCTAGAAGATCAGAGCCTGTCGGCTGGCACATGTCTTGCAACTACCTGAAGAAAGCTAGGGAAAATAGAAACCTTCAGCTACGGCTGCCTAAACGCTAACGGTACGTCCTATTAAAATGGGTTCTGAAGCAAGAAATAAAGTTTTTGGAAGAATTGCAGCTGCGACTGATTAGCTCGTGCTTGCAACCCCCCTTGGTCAATTCGATGAACAAGTATCCGATTGCTAAGCGTCTGCATTTTGGTCTTGTTCCCCAGTCGGAAAACGGCATAACCATGGCACTAGCAAAACAACACTATTTCAGCGATAAATAAAGAATCCCGGTAAAGCTCTGTGAAGATGTCTATATGGATTAGCTTTGGAAAGACACTTTGTACTTAGGTTAGCCTTTGTCTGAAATTGGCTGGACAACCTCTGCGGTTGAAGGATGGAGTTTCCCACTGATACTCTTCCTCTGACCACTTTGTCCCATCGCGTGTTTAACGACGCTGGCTTTCGCGGGGGTGCTGATTCTGTTCGCAGGACCTCCGTTTGCTGACGTGCAGATGTCGATTTAGGGAGTTGCTTAGGAATTCGAATGTGAATGAGATACTCTAATAGGAGTAAATTTTGCGTCCACTGATGGTCCATCGGCTGCACAGCAGTGGTTAGTTCTCAACTTGAATTTAAATTGTACCGCTTATCTGCCTCGGCAATGCGGTTAAAACCTTTTACTCATCTAAGCAATGGACCGGAGTGTTTAGGAATCAGGCAGCGGCTCATGCGGCGAACAGAAATTTAATCCCGGCCATGACAAATCAGGCGTGATTGTGCAGATGTTCTTTGTTGGTAATTGATCAGGTGGCTGTTGATCTGATCAATTACCAACCAATACACCCGAGCTACCAATATTCCAAAACATTACCAACAGATGTTCTTTGTGTTCATTGACCACTTGGATTTTATCACCAGTGGGCTTACGATGGGAAGAGAGGATAATGATGATACTCACCTTTGGATCAAAGTTTACTTCTAGCATGTTGTTTTCGGGATTTCGGGTAAGCAACGGCTGGGATAGATTGAACGAACAGACTAAATCAACTCCTTTCGCCCAGTGTGTGAACAAAGTTTCTTGGTAGCTGCAAACGAAGGTGGCGGAAACTTTGACAGAAATTAAATTCACTAGGTTAGCAGAGAAGCAGTCAGGGAAATGTAGTATACATATATACTTCGTCTGTATTTGAAAACATTTGCTTTACTTTTATAGAACCAACTGGTTTGGACTGGTACATATTTTGAGCTAATGTACCTGAGATTTTGCCTGGTAATTTGGATTAGTTAGCCTTTCGTTTGTCAGTTTGTCGAAATATGAGTGGCTTGGGTGTGTTTACTGGTGACTGATCAGATGGCAGTTGATCTGTTCATCGAGTTTGGCATTTGGCTTACAAGCGTTTCGTCCCCAGTCGAGGAGACATCGTCAGTGCGCTGCTGAATGGGTGCTTCCTCCGTGCCTAGCTGCGTCTATGTGGTTTTTAAAGAGTATTTAATATCCTGCCGTGTGATTGGCTAGGATATTAGATACTCTTCAAAAACCACATAAACGCAGCTAGGCACGGAGGAAGCACCCATTCAGCAGCGCACTGATGATGTCTCTTCGACCGGGGACGAAACTTTTTCAAGCCAATTGCGAAGCTCGGCGAACAGATCAACTGCTATCTGATCAACCATCAGTAGCCTTTCCCTTACCTGATGAAGTCTATTGATGAAATGCACTTATTTGCACGGGAGATCTGATGAGTCCCAAGAAGGGTAAAATCAGTCGTGAGCTGTTGAAAAGTGTTTCACAACTCTGTGAGTAGTGTGTTACTCCTGCGACTGATGTTACTTTGAAGGTGGAAGTGGAAATTACATAAACACAACGTAACGCTCAAGACAGCGACGTTTCCCCGCTGGCTTAGCAATACTGTCGTTAGTGAATGAATATTCATGATTTCTTAAACACAATCAACCTGCATGCAAGAAGGAAGGATAACCAGATGAAATAAATTCGCGTAACCAATCGATCGGGGCAGGGCAGAATGCAGCACAAACTGAATAACTGTCTATTCGTGCAAGAACGGTCAGTCGAAATGCCGAAGTTTCCCTAATGTACCGGGGAAAACAGCTAGAAAAACAAACTCACTCGCTCAATAGCTTCATTATATATTCATATTTTTTCAAGACGATGGCTCCATCTTTTGTCTCAAAGGTGCTAAAATTAGAAAGGATTATTACAGATCCTTCTCAATTTAACATGTATGAAATAGATACTTTTATATCGGTAGATTCAGTAGTTTGGTTAGGTGGCTATGCCGGGGATAAACAAAGGTTTGGAAACTCGATCGAAACGGACTTTTGCGCACTAGATAACCAGGTTTCCTCAGTGGCCTGAAGAAATCATGGCGGTGTTCAGTACAAGTGATTCTCAAATTATAGAGAAAGAGAGGGACATTAGAAAAGAATTCACCTTTTATTGGAGGTTATTTGTAGGAAGAGTCTTCCCCATCGGGAGAAAAGAAACCGTCTCCTGATACCAAAGTGGTCCCTTGTAGGAGGTGCACGAGGCATGGTCAAATGAGGCGTGCCATTTTTGGTACCGAATAAACATCAAGCTGTATGCAATGGCTTTTTAGTGTTGCCAGCCAAAGAAAATACATTGGATAATCGATACTGTTGCATCGCAGTATGTAGAACCTGTAGGAGTATTTCAGTGTGCTAAGGTTGCGTGATACTGTCCGTCCTTAATAAGCTAGGTCACTTCAAACGGATACTTATGGTTTCGGATTCATCGTCATATCATATAATGTGAATGGTGACCACCATTCATATCGCTGTCCAATTTAGTTGAAGCTTTTATGTTCAATCGACTGATGAGGTGCATAAAAGTTTATGTACTACGACGTTAATGAGTTTGGTTGATAGATCCATACTTCTTAGTGGCTTTGCATTTCCCCTAAAAATTTTCGAGTGACGAACGGCATTACTGTGACTACGCTGAAATCCACTAATTAAACAGAGTAAAAATTCAGTAGGTTCGTGATGCGGTAAAGCTCCTTCAAATACTAAATTATGAAGAACTTACGGAAGATCCAACTGGTGGACCAAGTTAACTGGTATGGTTACTCGTTGACGCAGCTCAGCGGCCCTTTTCAAGTTACCTGCCACTTTGGGCATATTTTTTGGTATGTATTCATATCCGGTGTGTTTATTCATCTCATCGGACTGGCTGCGTGAGCTAGGCCCAGAATCGCTACCCAAGCCAGAGTCTCCAGGTCCTGTTGATGCTCTGGGTTGCGCATTTCTCACTGAAACTAAATTTGATGATCTAAGGTCAGGGTTATCTTCTTCGACTTAAAGTTATTAAGAAATTTTACGAACTTCTTTCAAATAAAGAACAACATTAAGTGAACCCAGAAACACAGGCAAGTTACTCACAACCTGATAGTTGACACTTCCTCTGAAGATAGATAGATAGATAGATAAATAAA